TTCGGGTTATGTCCCTCAGCAATTTCAGGTTCATGGACTTTGAGGATGAGAGAACAGATGTCAAAGGTTTGTCAAAAGTCAAGGTCAAAGGTTGACCTCAGGTCACATGACAGCGAGGTCATCATGCATATCATTCGATGCGCCTTGACGAGCTGAACACCATTAGCGCGGCTGTATCTCGTTCCTGTGAGAAGTAATTAGCAAAAACCTTTAATGACCTTTGATGACGTCTTATGACCTTGCAGCTGCCCAACAGCAGACAACATATCAAGGTAGTCAAGGCTGATCATATATGAAGTCATTTATGGTATAATGGGCCATTATACGACGTGCCTCAGTGAAAAAATCGGGTAGTTGATTTTCCCCCAATGGTCGACTTATAATGGGGAGGTCAATAAATTGACGTAACCTTAGGTCATCGATATCAAAATTCCGATATCAACAAATTGTAGCGTACATACTATGACCTTATATTACCTCCTGCAACTTTCAAATGACTCCGTCATCGACTGTATGTAGCTCTGACACGGTGACAAAGTTAAGCGACTGGAGGTCGGGTCGTTCGAAGTGGCCTGATGACCTGACCTTGAAAGCAGGGGCGTAACTTCATATCTCTTTGGGGGGCTTGAGCCCCCCCCCCCCCCGGTGCTGAACTGAGCCCCCCTTGGGAAGCTTAGAGCCCCCCTTGATTAATTTTTAATTCTTGACAAAACACACACAAATACCAAGACACTAACATCCAATTTCCCCATTTTCCACCATACACATGAGTTTCCACTTTCCAGGTTGGGGGATGATCATGGACTTGTAAACACCCTCGCCCGTATAGGGGGAGGGGGTCGAACGGACCCCCCCCCCCCCGGGTTTTTGGCAAATAACTCGCGTAAAAAGCGTCCGATCGCAACGAAACTTTGAGTACCCTCGCGTTATTCAATTTCACACCTACCCTGAAAATTTCATGACCCTGACTCAAATGACCTTTGACCTGTGACCTACTTTTCGAGACCATGCTTGGTCGGAAATCGGAATCGCGATTCGGCGTATGTCGGCTCGCATTAGCCGCGCGTTTGCAGTCTTTTCGTGGTTTCAAGCGTTCAAACATGTGATATGATGTTGCTCCCAATGCATTAAGGTGGGTGTGAAGGTCACCTGAAGGTCAGGTCAGGTCATTGACCTTTGATGACCTCGGTTCACTTTTTCGAGTTTTACATGTTTCTAGGCTAGTTTTTGGAGCTGAATTGGAATTTGGCAACCATATGGACATTTACGAAGTAGTTTTGGTGCCTTCCTAATAGGTTACGAAGCTGTCAGAGGTGGTTGACACCTACTATGAATACCTGGCAGGACCCCTACTGGTTGACTTCACTTGACCTGACCTGACCCGACCCGACCTAGCCTAAATGCATCTAGTCTAGAACCATGTAAAACTCGAAAAAGTGAACCGAGGTCATCAAAGGTCAATGACCTGACTTGACCTTCCGGTGACCTTGACATCCACCCTAATGCATGGGAGCCACATTATATCCCATGTTGAACGCTTAAAACCACGAAAAGACTGCAAACGCGCGGCTAATGCGAGTCGACATGCGCCGAATCGCGATTCCGGCCAAACATGGTCTAGAAAAGTAGGTCACAGGTCAAAGGTCATTTGGACAAGGGTCATGAAATTTTCAGGGTAGGTGTAAAATTGATTAACGCGAGGGTACTGAAAGTTTCGTCGCGATCTGCCGCTGTTTACGCGAGTATTCGCAAAAAACGAAGGGTTCGTTTCGTCCGGTCGACCCCCCCCCCCCCATACGGGCGAGGGTTAACATGAGCCCCATGGGCGTTGCATGGAAAGAATGGGACCAAAAGTCGGCAGTGCTCCCCCCCCCCCCCCCGTTAAATGAAGTGTTCCGCCGCTACTGGGTAGATGTGGATCGGTGGTTAAACCTGCGCCTGGGTCTCTGAGTTTCAGTCAGCTTCACCGTCGTGAGGGCGTCCCATTATTTCAGAGGCTGAGATAAAAAGATTCGTAAAAAGCGATCGACTGCTCCAAACAAATGGGTCCCTCCAACAATGCCTAGGCCAATTTTTGTATTTCCTGCTTACTTCTCCATTGTCCCTTCGTAAGATCACAGATATAAAATCCGAATTACACGAATTGCTTGCGCCGTTACCTTTACATTACTGTGCAGTGCTGCAGAGTCGATTGATCGACTCTTTCTGTACCATTGACAACAGATATGCTCCTAAAACCCACAGCACGGTAAAACTGAATTGTGGTATGAGCCTTTTTCTTTTGACTGAATGTTTCTTGACCAGTGGCGGATCCAGAAAGCGGTCCTGGACGCTACAGATTGGGGATATCCATAAAAAGTTTCTCCAATTTCCAAAAACTCGCCGGATTTCGATTCCTTACGCACTGCTGAGTGCTGAGCAGTTTAAAACAAACTCAAACTTCTAGGATATAAGCTATACGGTTGAAAGGGCCTCAGTTTTTTTTATATGCAAGGCCACTTGACTTGGTGATCAGATCTTAGGTGCTCTGGCATCAAACTTGTTACACAGGCTGCAAAAGTCATGTTTTAGAGCTGTTTTGCCAAGTGATTTTGCCAATTTTCTCGAGTCAAAAACAGATCGGGAGTTGTAACCCTCGTTAAGCACCCTCATCAAGCATGTGATTAAGCACCCCCACACGCAGACGCAGGCATGTATATGCATTACCATAGACCACTATATATCGTATATAGGTGTATAGTGGTCTATGGCATTACCTATCAGACTGCGGTGGCACATGTAATTGTAAACATGTATACCTCGTAGAAGACAAAAGGCTTTACCGTTAACGGTGTCAAATGGAAACGGACTTCAGACTGTACTGTGTAGGCATTTGGCCCATACCATTAGACATATAGTGCATCGGCCTGACAAAGTACAGTAACAATATCTATAGGTTTAAGTTTTTAGCCGGCCGATCCATCCCCCCTGACGAAAACCCGTAGGTAGGTACGCACAGACATCCCAAATATGGAAAGTTTTGCTGCTGACTGCTGAGCCCCCCCTTACAATATCATAAAGTTTTTTTTCATAGCACTTATTGTATTGGATCACATCCATCACACACTTGTCACACCAGGGGACACAGCACTGACCTCTCGACCCGCCAGTCTTCTCCGCACGAGTCACATGAAACCACGTGCGGTATAAACACCAGTGAACTCGCCACACGATGACAAAAGCACTGACACACGTCAAAATCACCTGCGACCGTCGCAGCACTAGTAACAAGAAGAAAGGCCCTGCCGTCCGGGCTGCCGGGGTCTCGGCCGCTCCCGCACCGTGTCATCGCTATGTAGCGGCGGTTCAGTGTTATCGTGCGAACAGAAACACCGCAATAGGTTCAGACCACCCCAAGTCCTCACCGACCGACAGTTGAACGAGCGCACTCTTTTTTTATAATTAATTTAACAAACACTCGATACAGTAGCTGCAAGGCGGCGGCGATAGCACAGGCAGCAGCGGCGGCAGCGGCGGCGCGGGCAGAGGCCGCCGGGTTATATACTGCACGTGTACATTAGGCAACAGCCACCGGCCGGGCCGGCGCAGCGCAGCGACGAACCGTAGGGGAAGTTGGGGGAACGCCGAATACTTTTTTTCTGACGCCCGTAGCACGCAAGGTAGACAACATAAGCTATTCTTGTTGGCGTCATTCGAGAGGCCAGTCTTTTGCCTTTCAAACATACCAGGCGCATTTGATGAATTCGCATACCGTTAAGCGCACAAACTAAAAATATCAAAGAAGTGACTTTTTCGGCGTTGCCCCGGACTGCGGGGAAAGCCGAAAATGGGAGAAATGATCTACGGGGAATGCCGACATTGATGTTTTGCCACTTTATCTCAAACTTTATCCAGAATTTATCAAAGCTGACACGCGTTTTAAGAGCTTGAGGACGCTTGGTGCACACTGGAAGTTATAATTGTGTGATATAATAAGAAAATGCCAGGTAAATAATTCCTTATAGGTAACAGGCCGTTGTGTCGGTTGAAAGTGTAATTTGTGTGACTTAAAATTCGCGTTGCTATTCTACAGCAGTACAGTCCACGTAGCGTGCTTTAACGTGCGTAATTGCACGTTTTCGGCATTACCCCAGCCAGCCATACTTTCATTTGCAGGCCCATAACTTTTCAACGTGCCGTATAAATTTCCAATAGGCAGCACACTTATGCAAAGACATGCACTGAAGATTACTTGACCGAATTGGCCAGACAAACGGTAGCATAATGAGTAAGAAATGCAGCTTCAAAGGCGCATGTAGTACAAGGAACGCGTACCTTGAAAACGCTCTTGGCGCCCTCACAGCCGAAGTATTCCGAATGACGACTCGTAACAAACATGCGATAATTGTAGTCACTTAAGCTTCAGAGCATCACTGACAGGTGGCATCCATGTCTTACGGTTTTCGAAATATCTCGAATTTCGGCTTTGCCCCAACTCCGGCATTGCCCCAACTTCCCCTACGTGAAGGGCAGGACAATATCATAAAGTTACACCCCTGCTTGAAAGGTAGGAGGTTCAATCTTGCACATCATGTGTAAAATTGATGTAAAATATCCATGGTAAATTTTGAGGCGCTACGCGCCCTGTTTTCCCCGCTATTTATTAAAAACCTCAGGGGGCGGATATCCGCCCTCCCCCCGTCGACGCACGGGTTATGTGCTTTTCTACTAACTTCATAACCATGTCATCATTTCAGGGTCCATTTTGGTAGAAGGTGGCAGGAAAAAATGTACCTATCTATCAAAAGATAAAGATATGCTCGTGTGTGTAACTTGTATAAAAATATAGCCTTGTGCAGCAAATCATGTACCTATGCATAGTAATGTCATGTATCGCTAAAGTGCTATGACTCAGGAATACGTAATAGGAGTAGTGCCACGCCCCCACTACATGGGCCGGGGTGCCTTAGCGGCTGGTGGGCGGGTCACGCTCATAGCCTTGACAGACGAAAGAGGCTCACTCGCGGTATAAAGGGCGACTCCACGACGGCATCGGCACCAGTTGCTCTCCACACTCGGACAACACACTATCCAACATGAAGGTAAGATATGTAGATACAAAACGACATGAAAAATTGTATTTTCCGTAAGCATACTAGGCTAATATTTGTGTATTGTGTATTTGTGTATTTGGTATAACCGTCAACAAGACATGCCCAATTAAAACGGAGTCAGAGATCACCTTATGCATTAATACAACGTGATATCAGACAAAAAGTTAAAAATACTTAATATCTTTACTTAAATACTTAAGTTAAATATACTTAAAATACTAAAAAAAAACTTAAAAGTTAATATCGAAAGAATATCTATGGTGCAAGTTATCAATGTCTGAAATTTGGTGGCGACGAGAGTCATAGCTTTTTTTAGAAAGAAATGCAACATGTAAAATGCACTCACGTATGTTCCAGGTGTTCCTCGTTGCCGCCGTGCTGGTCGTGGCCGCCGCCGATTCTCCGGCTCCGTACCACCCGACTCCGGCTCCGTACCACCCGGCTCCGGCCTACAAGCCGGCTCCCTACCATCCGCAGACCCAGTACAAGGAGGAGGCCAGGCCGTTCGCCTTCGACTACGCCGTCAACGACCACTACACCGGCACTAACTTCGCCCGCAACGAGCAGAGCGACGGTCACAACGTGCAGGGCTACTACTCGGTGGTTCTGCCCGACGGCCGTACCCAGCACGTCAAGTACACGGCTGACCACTACGGTGGATACAACGCCGAGGTCACCTACGACGGAGAGGCCGCCTACCCCGAGCAGCACTCTGCCCCTGCCTACAAGCCGGCCCCCTACCACCCGGCTCCTGCCTACAAGCCCGCCCCCTACCACCCGGCCCCTGCCTACAAGCCGGCCCCCTACCACCCTGCCCCTGCCTACAAGCCGGCCCCTGCCTATAAGCCTGCCTACAAGCCTGCCCCCACCTACAAGCCGGCCCCTGCCTACAAGCCCGCTCACTATTAATTCGTTGATAGGTTATTAGTGGAGTGACTGATGATGATTGAGCTATTTATGAGGTGTAAATAAACGCTTTTGTCATTGCATACATGTTCTATGCGACAGTGCACGTGTGTTGACTGTTGAGCACACAGCGTACTCGTACGTGTAAAAGAGATTAACCGCAGCAGAAAGAAATCCAGATCTTAGCCCGCGCCCCGCTGGGCTATTCAGCCATACGCGCCCTGCTGGGGGGGGGGCAGATTCCCCCCCCCCCTCATGTCTAACTTCCGAACCGATGGTCGTACAAAGACGGGGAAAACGGCAATCGAAAGCTCTCAACAAGGCGGATCTTGAGAGGCATGTTTTTTGCTTAGGTAAGTCGTAGGTCAGGTCAAGGTCAGGTAAGGGTACAAAACGCAAGTTTCTACAGTATCGGCCTTACACCGTAGTTGCCGAAGAATGGACTGAGACGGATTGCCCAAAACGTGTTCTTAGGCTACCAAGACAATATTCGTTGCATACAATGTCATGCAAAGGTCAAGGTCAAGGTCAGGTCAGGTCACCAAAAACGAAATATAGATAAAGGCATATGCGACACATGTTTTATGGGTCATTTTATTCGTAAAATTCAATAGGCACACTCAAAAAGTGATATGGACCACATCTGGATGAATTTCAGGTCGAGGTAAGGTCAAGGTCAGGTCAAAAGAGGTCAAATTTTGAAGTTGGTTGTTAAGACGTAAAAAGGTGTCTATTCTGATGCAGTTTTTCACGGCAAATCGAATGGTGCTGTTTTTGTTTTCGTACAAGGTCTAGAACTTCCAAAAACTTCATTTTTCAATCCACATTTTTGAACCGATTCTTCCTAAACTTGGTATGTAGGTGCACATAGACCACTTCTCTGACAAATATTCCGTTTTTTTCGATAAACTAAAACTTTTGGATTTTATCATTATCCCCCCCCCCCAAAAAAAAGAATCAGTTTTTTGAAAAACATTGGACCAAAATCCAAAATTTTCAAAAAAACCGAGATAGCCATTTGATAGACAAGGTAGTATCACGTACCTATACCTAACCTTTTTGTTACGTCCTGATTCCTTTAAAAATGAAGATATTAGCGGCGTTTGAAATTTTGCCGTTTTTTGAGGCGAAAATGGCGAACATGACGTCACTTAAACGTCACTTCCTAAAAAAAAAAATCCGACAGGTTTCGCTCAAATTTTCAGAAAACGTGTTACATTGATGTATGATAAAGTACTGAAAGTTTGGCTTCGCTGGCGTAACGCGTTTAGAAGTTATTGGCGAAAAACGGGAGGGGGGCTATTCATAGCCCCCTTCCCGTTTTTCTGCAATAACTTCCAAACAGCTTGATGTATCAACGCCAAACTTTCAGTACCTTCGGCTGCATCAATTTGACACCTTGTGTCAAAATATGAACTTCGTAACTACCATAGGTCGACCGAATATGACGTCAGAGTGACGCCATATTCGGCCGATTTCGACGTAAAACATTGAACCACGGCAATCGCTCCCAAGTCCCAAGAGCTCCGTTTTTAAGCTAGATCCAATTTCTTTGCATGAGAGGACTTCGAATAGACTGCGCTATCAAACTGCTATCTCGGATTTTCAATATTCTGAAAATTTCGAAAATTATATAAAATGAAACTAAACATTTATATCTTTGTTTTTTTTCAAAAACTTTTTGATTTTTCGAGAAAAAAACCTGAATATATGTGATAGAACACATGCTTATCACTTACTCTAGCAAGTGTTCGCTAAATATCTTCAAAAATGGCCAAGTTATACGCATTATTGCAAAAAAATCACAATATTAAATTTTTCAAATCAATTTTTAAGTACGTTTTAGACATCGTACACCAATATAGATAGCACCATCGTGTTCCTGAGCTCAAACTGCATCTATAATAGACACCTTTTTTGTTGGAAAATTTTAACTTTAAAATTTGACCTTTTTTGACCTGAAAGTGACCTGACCTAAGCTAAGTTCAAGTCAAAATGACCTCGAATGACACAAACGACATCAAAATCGACATCTATGGTCTAAATAGACCATAAAACATGTGTCACGTGACCGACGCATGATATAATATTTCCGTGACCTGTGATGACCTGACCCTGACCTGAAAATCAAAGTAACAAGTTTGATACCCTCAGGGTATCTAAAGCATCTGATTAAATGTTTCAGGTGTTCCTCGTTGCCGCCGTGCTGGCCGTGGCCGCCGCCGATTCTCCGGCTCCGTACCGGTTCCACGACAACTGAACCAGTGACAACTGAACCAGTGACAACTGAACCAGTGACAACTGAACCAGGGACAACTGAACCAGTGACAGCTGAACCAGGGACAACTGAACCAGTGACAACTGAACCAGTGACAACTGAACCAGGGACAACTGAACCAGTGACAACTGAGCCAGTGACAACTGAACCAGGGACAACTGAACCAGTGACAACTGAACCAGTGGACAACTGAACCAGTGGACAACTGAACCAGTGGACAACTGTACCAGTAGACAACTGAACCAGTGACAACTGAACCAGTGACAACTGAACCAGTGACAACTGAACCAGTGACAACTGAACCAGTATGACAACTGAACCAGTGACAACTGAACCAGTGGACAACTAAACCAGTGGACAACTGAACCAGTGGACAACTGAACCAGTGACAACTGAACCACTAACCAGTAGTCCAGCAAGCAGTTTTACTCCGGGCCTAAGCAGGCTGAAGTGCGGCTTGCCCGATATTTTTAGTCGGGCTAAAGTCGGCTAGCGCTTGGACGTCGGCAAGCGCTTGGGCTAAAGACTAAAGTCGGCGTATGACACAAAAAACGCCGACTTAAGCCAATGCTCTGCCGGAGGTATATGCCCTCTCGGCGAGCTCAGGACAGCCGTTGTTTAGTTGCCCTATAGTTGTGCGACGTTTGGCGTAAGCCCGATGTAAGCCCGAGCAGTGAATACATTTATATTCCGGAGATTCCTCTGGGCCCAGGCGGGCTGAACTCTGCCAAGCCCACGTTGCGTGCCCTGTCTGTCCCGAGTTAGGCCATCAAAGTGAATATTATTTATACGTTACTAACTATTCGGGCGTCCCTAGTGGGCGTAACGGTTACCACACCAGTTCGCGACCACCAGGCTCTGTCAGCCCTGTCAGCCGTCGTACGGCTCTCGGACGGACACTCTAATAGATCGGACACAGATCAATTGGCAGCCCGGCAGATTGGCACAGACCGTCCGTCCAGCCACGCGCTACCTTATACCTATACAGCGCAGGCCGCATTACGACATTAGTTGTCCACTGGTTTAGTTGTCCACTGGTTCAGTCGTCCACTAGTTCAGTTGCCATACTGGTTCAGTTGACACTGGTTCAGTTGTCACTGGTTCAGTTGTCACTGGTTCAGTTGTCACTGGCTCAGTTGTCATACTGGTTCAGTTGCCCCTGGTTCAGTTGTCCCTGGTTCAGTTGTCCCTGGTTCAGTTGTCACTGGTTCAGTTGTCACTGGTTCAGTTGTCACTGGTTCAGTTGTCTACTGGTTCAGTTGTCCACTGGTTCAGTTGTCCACTGGTTCAGTTGTCCACTGGTTCAGTTGTCACTGGTTCAGTTGTCCCTGGTTCAGTTGTCACTGGTTCAGTTGTCACTGGTTCAGTTGTCGCTGGTTCAGTTGTCACTGGTTCAGTTGTCGCTGGTTCAGTTGTCACTGACTCAGTTGTCACTGGTTCAGTTGTCCCTGGTTCAGTTTTACTGGTTCAGTTGTCCCTGGTTCAGTTGTCAGTTGTCACTGGTTCAGTTGTCTGCCTACCCTCCGTACCACCCGACTCCGGCTCCGTACCACCCGACTCCGGCTCCGTACCACCCGGCTCCGGCCTACAAGCCGGCTCCCTACCACCCGCAGACCCAGTACAAGGAGGAGGCCAGGCCGTTCGCCTTCGACTACGCCGTCAACGACCACTACACCGGCACCAATTTCGCCCGCAACGAGCAGAGCGACGGTCACAACGTGCAGGGCTACTACTCGGTGGTTCTGCCCGACGGCCGTACCCAACACGTCAAGTACACGGCTGACCACTACGGTGGATACAACGCCGAGGTCACCTACGACGGATATGCCGCCTACCCCGAGCAGCACTCTGCCCCTGCCTACAAGCCTGCTCCCTACCACCCGACCCCTGCCTACAAGCCGGCCCCTGCCTACAAGCCCGCCCCCTATCACCCGGCCCCTGCCTACAAGCCGGCCCCTTACCAACCGGCCCCTGCCTACAAGCCGGCCCCTGCCTACAAGCCAGCCCCTGCCTATAAGCCTGTCTACAAGCCTGCTCCCACCTACAAGCCCGCTCACTATTAATTCGTTGATAGGTTATTGGTGGAGTGACTGATGATCATTGAGCTATTTATGAGGTGTAAATAAACGCTTATGTCATTGCATATATGTTCTATGCGACCTGCATGTGTGTTGACCGTTGAGCACACAGCGTATTCGTACGTGTAAAAGAGATTAGCCGCATCAGAAAGAAATCCAGATCTTAAGATAGATTTAACGCCGTAGGATTATCAATCGATTCATATCATCAATCTGTACATAGGTATTTACGGATGAGGAATTTTCATGGCTTTAGAACATGTCTATCAAAAGTTTTTGTAAAACTGGTGGTTACCCAAAATGACCTAAGATGCCCTCAGGGGTCTAAGGTGGGGTTACGGGTGCAGGTTTTTAATTCCAAATTTAATGTTAACCTCCTTCACAATGTTTCAAAGTGTTTAAAATAGCCTGCATCCAAAAAAGTTGCAGTTCAATTTTCATCAATTTTCGTAAAAAGGAGAATTCGCGAAACTGACCTGACCTTAGGTCAACGATATACAAAAATACGAAGTATGTGCAAGATTCAGGAAAACTGTCGCTTTTATCAAGCGCTTAGAGTTCTAAGGCATCAGTCGGCTGGTGTATAACTGTGACGAGCATATTACAACTTTTATTGAGATTAGGTCACTTGACATGATCTGGTAGTGGTGAACTGATTTTGACAGACTCAGACCTGATATGTTTACTTCTGCAGAAAAGAAGAATTAAAATGTGCCAAAAAGCCTGCGAATAGTGTCACCATTTTTTATTTATTAATGGATAGCCGCACCGAGGGGGTCAAAACGACAAAATTCAAGACAATTGGTTTCCAAGACAATTCAATTTCAAGACAATTCGATCGTGATTGTTGAAAAAACGTGACTGACTGATTCTTGCCAGTAATTATCTTGTCGTGTGTGACAAATTGGTTTCCAAACGTTGGGTCGCTAGCACGATCCCGTCAGAGGTGATGATGCCGTTTTGCACTGCAAAGAATGTCCGTGACAATGAGGCAGAAACGACTATAGAATGAGACGCCAGGCACTTCTTGGAAAAGATTACTTGCATCAAGAAAACAAAAGAGAACAAAACGAAATAACAACGAAGCTTTCTTATACATGTATTTGCATTGTGCTTCCTATATCAATGAAAACGAACTGTCTTATAAAAAAGACACTATCATACATCAGACTGGGCTCGATATGACTATCAGAACTGCTGAACTGAGAAAGTAAACATTGCAACATGAGTGAAGTCGATCACAAATAGACGATCCGTATGTCCAATTTGTTGATGCACGCTGCCATTGTGCAGACTGCAGTCAATGCATGTACATACATACATATCATGTACACTGCACAGTGTGCAAAAATGTGCGGCCTCCTTCATGACCTCCATGGCCTCCTTCGACCAATTTCGTGACCTGGGGGCGCTGACCTGACCGTGACCCGAGGTCAACACCCTAAGTTGACCTCACCCAAACAAAAAGTATATCATTCGACGCGCCTGAGCGAAGCGAACACGATGCTGCCAAAATCGCGGCTCTGCGGCCCTTTTTGGCGAAGATATTCACCAAAAACGGAACCGTACCTTAGGGCACTTGACCTGACCTCAGAGGTCACCGGTTGAGTAAGAAACTTAAAATCGGGTATCAATCTCTGCGTCTCGTAACGGCGCACACGCTCGTGTTTTCGTGACACGCTAGTTCCACCAGGGGCGAAACGGCGAGGGGGGTCGTGCCCCTCCCCCTCGGCCGGCGCGTATGTAGAAAGCCAATAGGTCCGGCGAGGGCTAAGGGGGGGGGGGCGTATTATCCCACTCTCCCCTATACTCTTTCTTCTCTCAATTCCGTATTGAAAACCCTAAAAGAAAAAATACCTATCAATTTCGGTGGATATTTTTAAACCAGTTCCCAGCCGCCTACGTGATTTAAGAAGCAAAAGTTGATATTGCTGAACTCAACTCAACACAAGCAATACATGCCGCTGTGTTATCTCCACGTTTCCAAGCCAGTAACGTGTGAAACAGAGCATTTGGTGGGGTTAACTCTTCCCCAGGCCGACATGTTATCAAAAAACTGACCTAGCTTGATACTTAATACATAATACTTCTTTACCTTAACCCTCGCACGACCAGGCCATTTCTCATAACACGAACGACCAGGGGGGGGGGTTGTTACGACCCCCCCCCCTGGCGTTTCGAAACGGAAGGTCGTAGAGCTTAGCGGAAAAAACCAACGGATTGCTCTCAACGAGATCTCGCGATTGGTGGTATATTTTTTGGCCCTAGGTCAACATTTGACCTACTTTTGACCGGTCAAAGGTCAAATTTTCGGAAAAATAGACTTTTTCAACTTTCCGCGGCGATTGCGGCAAAACGGTGAGAGATATCGACTTGAAACCTTCACTATCGTGTTTCTTGATCAATTCTCTATCGTTTGGTATGTATTTCGTTTCCCTAGCTCTAAAAATGGCGCGTTGGGAGCGCCGGAAGTCGGCAAGGTCACAGTCGGCGGCAGAAATTCGAAAAATCAAAATTTAAATTTTTGAAATCTGATTGTATTTTCGGATTTGGGAGGTCCATTTGCTCCCTATAGAAGCTAATATTGCTGCATATTCCCATTGAGGTGACAAGAATTAGCAAAATAGTGGTTCGGGCGCTTTTCAAAAATAGTACCGGACGCTGTTCCTCTTATGACGTCATAACTCCGTGACCTGACCTGACCCGGTCAATTTTCTTGCACCACACGTTAGCCAATGCTTGCCCCAACATGCATGGGAAGTTTCATCATGATCCATCAAACAATGTGGGTATCACCGGCAGAAAACCTAGGGATTCGGCGCACACGTTTGGTAACTGTCGGCCGGAGGCTGTACCTCTTATGACGTCATAACTCCGTGACCTGACATGACCCGATCAATTTTTTTTCGGCAAAAGATGCGCAAAGGTTGCCCCAGAGGGTATTGAAAATTTCAGCCCGCTACGACAAGCCGTTTAGCGTGCACTTCGAAAAAACCTCAGGGGGGGGGGTTGATACAACCCCCCCCCCCCCTAGGCGTTCTAGGGTTAAATACGTAGGCACCGAATATACACAATACACATATGTAATCTCACGGCTTGTCGTTAGCCTAAATAACCGTGACATGGGCATTCGAACACCATGCAGCTGCCAATAACAGATACCATGAGATATTATAATAAACACTTTGGATATAATGGCTTTATGAGAATCGACGAGGCTGAAAACTTCACAAAAAGGTTTGCGTGACAATCAGATAAAAACTATCCCTGATTTTACCGTACCTTAGAATATGATACAAGGCCGCTAAGTAACATACAGGGGTAAAATAAATATCAGAGGAATGACAGGGCCATGAAGCTGCAGGATCAATGAAATGCCGATCTAGAATACACTATCAGCAGGTGCTACATATCCAGGTCGAGCCCGGCGAGTGACCACGCCCGCCTCTAGACCACGCCCTCGCCTCAGCGTATGCCAGCCCCGCTACCGGTGGGCGGGTCAGACCGTGACCTAGACCGTGAGGGTGTCCGCTCGCCGTATAAAAGGTGTCGGACCATGGGAGTCGACACCAGTTGTTCTACACACTCGTCCAACTAACCAACCACCATGAAGGTAAGAGCGTTCAGTTATGCATTGACTATGATAGTTATATATGATCTGATCACCATGAGCAAAGTGCAAATTATTTACTTACGTCTTCCCATAGATTGTTTTTCGAGCGATTACACCAAAGTTCGAAGACTGTTTTTCTGTTGCATGACAACTATTGGCCGTCAGCAACCGATGCAACTGAATGCTAAATGAATTGTTTAACCGCTATTCCGTCACTCAATAACGTACTGAATGAATTGTCTTATTTCTTACATCTCATTCCAGGTGTTCCTCGTTGCCGCCGTGCTGGCCGTGGCCGCCGCCGATTCTCCGGCTCCGTACCACCCGACTCCGGCTCCGTACCACCCGGCTCCGGCCTACAAGCCGGCTCCCTACCATCCGCAGACCCAGTACAAGGAGGAGGCCAGGCCGTTCGCCTTCGACTACGCCGTCAACGACCACTACACCGGCACCAACTTCGCCCGCAACGAGCAGAGCGACGGTCACAACGTGCAAGGCTACTACTCGGTGGTTCTGCCCGACGGTCGTACCCAGCACGTCAAGTACACGGCTGACCACTACGGTGGATACAACGCCGAGGTCACCTACGACGGAGAGGCCGCCTACCCCGAGCAGCACTCTGCCTACAAGCCGGCTCCCTACCACCCGGCCCCTGCCTACAAGCCGGCCCCGTACCACCCGGCCCCTGCTTACAAGCCGGTCCCTGCCTACAAGCCCGCACATCATTAATGCGGTGATGTGTGGTGAAAGGAGCGAATGAGTTGTGGTGTGTACTATTTATCGCGTTTCTAAATGTATGTAAATAAACGTTTATGTTTTCGCAAAATAATGTGTATTTGCGTCATCTAATGTCCGAAAGCGTCCGAGGGCGGAACTATACCATAAACCGCAACAGCTGCAAAATGACAGCAAAAACTGCTTTAAAAGCATGTGTTTTACTAAAGTCCTCCAGGATTTATTGGATTGGATTGGATTGGATTGGATTGGATTGGATTGGATTTATTATTGGACTCCACCATCCTAACTCTCGCATTTATGGGGAATCGAACGGAGCCCCCTAGATCTTTTTGGGAAAAACTCGCGCAGAAAGCGGTCGAATGCAACGAAACTTTGAGTACCCTCCTGGTGATCAATCTTACATCTACCCTGAAAATTTCATGATCCTGACCCAAATGACCTTTGAACTGTGACATTTTTCTCGCGACCATGTATGGCCGGAATTGCGATATGGCGTCTGTCGCCTCAGATCAAGCGCACAGCGCTGCGTGTCGGCCGGAGCGGCTCCCGTGTCGGCCGCCATGGAGCTGCGTGTAGGTTTCCGAAAACTACGTCCAGTGGAACGGTGCGCCCCACCCCCCTCCCCTCCCCTCCCCAAGATCTCAGCTTCTTTAGAAGCCAAAAAGACGAAAACTGGAGGGCGGGTGAGGAACTCTGTTGTGTGTTAATTTCATTACCCTGAGCCAATATCTTCAAGTTAAAATGAAGTCACACGGGGTCAAATTTGCCAAATTGTGTGTACCTATATTTTGCGTTTACACGTCTACACTTCAAAAAATTACCGACCGATTTTAAGAGTGAGATGTCTTCCGATGACGCGCAGAACAGCCGAAGCGGGAAACATTTCAGTCACAAGCTTACACATACGTAACTCAAAATAATACCGGCTCGGATTGTCGCTCTTCTAGTTCACCTTAGGATTGCCTGTGCATATACATATAGTAAATCTTCACAGAGATCTTGACGCGAAGCGATCATTAGCGGCGGTAAGCAGCGCAATGCAAAGACGGAACCGTCTAGCGCTGGCGGCGAAAATCGGCCGCCGCCGCCGCGCCGCCACTCCAGCGGGATTTTTTTTTTACATCCCTCTTACTAAAAAAGTTGTACACCGATTTTCTTATTGCTTTCAGAGCAAGATGTGCAATCTGATTTTAGACATACTTTGAAAATCTCACGTTAGTACAAATGATTACGGAATACGGCGTGAGATACCTATTTGCAAAAAAAAAAAAAATCGGGCGGGGTGGGCGAAATTCTCCCCATCCACCACACGTGCTAAAACAATAAACTAAGTGAAATGAAAATAGATCTTGAAAAAACATACAATTTGCAATTCAACTAGCGTAGTCACAAACAGTACCAAGCTGCCACGCCACATATATATATATATATATATATATATATATATATATATATATATATATATATATATATATATATATATATATATATATATATATATATATATATATATATATATAGTTCATTCAATTCTGGCGCAGTACAGACATCTACGAACCAACATTGCCAAGGAATGTTTAACCCGGCAGGCGGTGGGCTTCCCAGCCACCTTCCGCGCGGTGGGGGGGAGCATTTTTTGCCCCCCCCCCCTCGTATCTCCGAAACTACTGGACGGATCCGGACAATTTAAACGGCGTTCGATAGCCCTGTCACATTTGTCGAAGGAACCCAAATTTCATTGACCTCGGGGTCACCGATGACGTCACAGGTCAGGTCAAAGATAAAATGTTTCACCGTTCACGGGGCTTCTAGGGAAAGCGCTATAACACCGAGTAAAACGCATTTTGTCGAAAATCAGCGATAAGGCGTCAGTTGTCTAGTAAATATGTTGCTATTAGAGGTCACTGGTCATACCAGGTCAGGTCACAGGTCAGGTCACCAAAGGTCACCAAGGGTCACCACATGAACCCAACTTTACTAAGGTTGTGCGACGCATGTTTTATGGCCAGTTTTTCATTTCCAACTCAATGGTATTGGTTATAAGACCATCAGGTACGGTTTAGGTCACTTTCTGGTGGAGGTCAGGTCAAGGTCAGGTCAAAAAAGGTCATATTTCAAAGTTGATATTTTGCATAAAATGGGTATCGATTCGATGCAGCTCGTCACGGGGAGTCTAATGGTGGTCGTTTTTTGCGCTACGAGGTCTAGAATTGCTAAAAATTGAGTTTGAAAATTTGACGTCATCAATTTTGAACAGTTTTTTCGCTATAACTTGGCCAAAAAAAGAGGTATCGATCTCAAATTTGGTATGTAGATAGAAGGCGGTAGGGACTATCACATATATTCCGGTTTTTTTTCTAAATTCAAAAACTTTTTAGATTTTTCGGCTATTATTTAAAAAAAAAAATCTATTTTTTTTTATTTTTGGGGGTCAAAATCTAAAAAATTCGAAAAACCGAAAAAAACAGTTTTGTAGCCCTTATGATTCCACACCTTTTATGTCTGGAACATTTTTCTGTATCTCTAAAGCTGTAGGCCTGACAGCTCTTCCCGCGAAACCTTTTTTTGGGTCGAAAATGGCAAAAATGACGTCACTCTGACGTCATTAGCGGCCAAGCTATCATAGCTTTTGGAAAAAAATTTTGGTCACCATGTGCGCTAGCTACTCCCGGGAGGGTACTGAAAGTTTGGTGACGATCGGCGCAGTGGTTCTCGAGATATATTGAAAAAACTAAAGGGGGGCAAAAAAAATGCCCCCCCCCCACCGTCTGGAAGGTTAAATGAAACTTTACGTCTGGCAACTGACAAATGACAAATCATTCCAATGATCAACGGTTGCTTTGCTCCCTTAGCTGGAAACCTAACGAAAAACTATGAACCTTTTTTGACCAAATCAGCACCAACTGTGCACCAAATGTGTAACAGATAACATCTATCCCCTAAAATAGTGGACAAATTTTAAAACGCGATAGCTCAGAGGTCATATCAAATTTATTCACGGAACTTTCCTAGAATATGCACCCGAACATTTCCACTTCCTCACGTGCCTACATTATCGAATCGGCCCCCTCTCGACTCACGCGATGGAGGTCTCCGCGCTCCAGCACGGTGCGCACAACTCTGACGTCAGCAATATCGGACTTTTCTGCGGATCCTGTTTGCAAGCTGCTGCTTCGAAAGGGCTGGATTTTTCATTGCTCTGGAGATGCCCGAAACAATGGTTTTATTTTTCAGACAAGCGAAGTTGCCCTCCCGGCGTGAAGCATGCTAGAAAACAAGAGTTTGTTTCCGAGGATCATGGTTTAGCTAGCAATCAGCCCTAGAGGCTTGAGCTCACCTTCCATCATGTAGAATGGGTACATGGATGGAAAAGCATACCTCGAACACTGACTGAAGTAAAAACTGGTGTCATTCCACACCCAAAAACACCCGGAAGGCAACATCCTGTTCGGGTCTGATCTATCATCCTGCCAAACTCAAAAGGACACTCGAAACTCCTCGAAGACCAGCAAAATCTTGTTCGTCAAGAGTTAGTATAACCGCCCATACATACCCAGCATCCACCCTACCAAGACCATGTGGGCCCTCCTAAAGGAAAAAGCCTACGAGAAGAAGTGGGTAGCCATTTCGAAGCAGCAACTGGCAAACAGGATCAGAAAAGTCCATGATAATGACGTCGGGGTTGTGCGCACTCTACTGGAGCGCGTGCGCGCAGAGACCTTGGTCGCGTGGGTCGGGAGGGCACCAATGCGCTAAAGTAGGCACGGGAGCAAGTGGAGAATGCTCGAGTGCAACGGCTATTAGGTATCAGTAACAGGGCGTTTTTTTTGTTGTTGTTGTTGTAAGAACGGCCAAAGAGCGGCTTTTACACGATCTCGACCTATTGTTAACACCAAAGCTGACTTTTCCGAAACTAACTATTCATCTAGGGAGCACTAGCTACCATACCTTTATCGGTAACGCAGTGCATCGCCACGCCTTTTATTTAATAGCCTTTACCCCGGTCCCAAGACAATGCGCGTTGTCCAGCCGGGGCCTCGCGTCAGCTGCACACAGGCACGCGCGTCAGTGAGAGTCGTGCTCCCGTCGACACTCCGACTGCGATTGCCCATTGGTCCGTATTTTCTGATCGCCCATATCATTCAACGAGGATGGACAAGACGAACGCAATCATGGCAATTGTTGTTTTCCATGCGGTCATTTTTGGCGCAGTCATTTACCAAATACTAGACCCAGCTTCAGGACTTTCTCTCCATATTGTGTGTTTGAATAGCCCTTGCATACACAAAGCATTAACCCGCGCCCCGCTGGGCTATTCAGCCATACGCGCCCTGCTGGGGGGGGGGGGGGCAGATTCTGCCCCCTCCCCTGTCTAACTTCCGAACCGATGGTCGTAGAAAGACGGGGAAAACGGCAATCGAAAGCTCTCAACGAGGCGAATCTTAAGAGCTCAAATTTTTTTTGCTTAAGTAGGTCAGAGGTCAGGTCAAGGTCAGGTCAAGGGTACAAAATGCAAGTTTCTACAGTATCGGCCTTGCACCGTAATTGCCGAAGAATGGACTGAGACTGATTGCCCAAAACGTGTTCTTAGGCTACCAAGACAATATTCGTTGCATACAATATAATTCAAAGGTCAAGGTCAAGGTCAGGTCATGTCAGGTCAGGTCACCAAAAACAAAATATAGAAAAGGGCATGTGCGACACATGTTTTATGGGTCATTTTGTTCATAGAATTCAATAGGCACACTCAATTAGTGATATGGACCACCTCTGGATGAATTTCAGGTCGAGGTCAGGTCAAGGTCAGGTCAAGTGAGGTCAAATTTTGAAGTTGGTTGTTAAGGCCTAAAAGGTGTCTATCTGATGCAGTTTTTCACGGCGAGTCGAATGGTGATATTTTTGTTTCCGTACGAGGTCTAAAACTTCCAAAAAAATTATTTTTCAAAAATTTTGTGTGTCGTGACGTCATTAAATTTTGAATAACTCCCACATTTTTGAACCGATTCTTCTTAAAATTGGTATGTAGGTGCACATAGACCACTTCTCTGACATATATTCCGGTTTTTTCGATACACTCAAAATTTTGGATTTTATAATTATTTTCCCAAAAAAGTCGGTTTTTTTGAGAAAAAAAATTGGGCCAAAATCCAACATTTTCAAAAAACCGAGATAGCCATTTGATAGACAAAGTAGAATCACGTATAACCTTTTTTGTTACGTCTTGATTCCTTTAAAAATGAAGATGTTAGCGGCGTTTGAAATTTTACGATTTTTGAGGCGAAAATGGCGAACATGACGTCACTAAAACGTCATTTTCTCAAAAATTTTCCGACGGATTTCGCTCAAATTTTCAGGGAACGTGTCAAATTGATGTATGATAAGGTACTGAAAGTTTGACGTCGCTGGCGTAACGCGTTTAGAAGTTATTGGCGAAAAACAGGAGGGGGGGCAGATTCTGCCCCCCCCAGCGGGGCGCGGGTTAAACAATCAACCATATCCGCATCCTGAGACGGCATGCATTTCACATTAACTGTACATGTACAACTCCCAAAAATTGATATGAAAGAAAAGAAATTAGAGGACTACAGCATAACCACTCTGTGAAAGCAGCAATTTGAACATTTGTATTGCGCAGATATGAACAGAAAGAAAGGAGTCGGAACGCAAATAATATGCCTATGTGTATTTCGAACCAGATCAATATGATAGCAGGCTATCGGCACAATGATAAGGCAAAAATTTTGTAATTAACATTGGCCCAGTTTTCAGGTATGTACCGTTCGGCGACTCCCCGTTCTCAGTGAGCCAAACCCTATCCAATATTCAACGGTCAGACCGTGACCTCGACCGTGAGGGTGCCCGCTCGCCGTATAAAAGGTGTCGGACCGTGGTAGTCGGCACCAGTTGCTCTGCACTCTCGTCCAACCAACCAACCAACATGAAGGTGAGACGATTCTGACAAAGCACTGCGCGGATCAGGCCAAATGAAAACCAGAGGACCTATAAGCTCACTCAAAGCACAGCTTTGAATTATCGTATATTTTCCATCTTCTTCACTCATGTCAATCTGCAGCACTGGCGGATCCAGGCTTGCGTTTTTTTGGGGGGGCCAACTCATGCAGGAGCCAAACCTAGGGTACCCCCAAATCCTGTTTTCTCATCGGATTTAGGCCACTTATTTTTCGTCACAGCCCTGACACTATGAATATTTTTTTTTTACTAAAAAAAATGTATATAAATGGTAGTCCACCCGACCCATGCCTTTATATTACTTTGTAAACACTTACCATTGCTTTTGTCGACCAGTTAACCCGCTTCGAGTCAGTGCTTGGGTCCCTTTGCGGGCCGGGAGGTGGTAAAACACCCCCTGTCTAACTCGGCTCCTGGGCCACGCACTGATTGAACTATGTTTCATTATCGCTTGGGGGAGAGGGCAAACGGGCCACTTTAGGCCTCTGGGAAGGGGGCATGGCCCTAAATGCCCCCTCCATGGATCCGCCAGTGTAAGAGACCATTGGAGCTGCAGTTGGGTACCTCAGACGTCAGGGTACGCCCTCAGATGTATAGGACTCGCATGGAGACCTCTTATGCTATAGTGGACTGAAAGGACCCAAAGGAGCCTGTCTAGGGCTCCCGGAGATAGACGTGGGCCCTCAGGAGCCCGCCAGAGCCCCCAATGAGGGATAAGTGAGGGATACCAAGTGCCTGCAATTGCATATTGCATAAGCCATAACGCCTTTACAAATCAATATATTATGTATCAGTGGCAGATCCAAGGGGGGGCCACATGGGTCATGACCCGCCTTGGTGCCCGGGGGCACCACAGGCCTGTCAGGGGCACCACCGGCCTAGCAGGGGCACCACCAGCCCGCCAGGGGCACCACAGGCCCAGCAAGGGCACCACGGGCCTGTGAGGGGCCCACAGGCTTGTCAGGGGCACCCCAGGTCTGTCAGGGACACCAGAGACCTGCCAGGGGCGCCGCCGGCCTCGCAGGGGGACCATGGGCCTGTCAGGGGCACCATGGGCCTGTCAGGGGCACCAGAGGCCTAGCAGGGGTACCACAGGCCTTACAGGGGCACCACCGGCCTTGCAGGGGCACCTTGGGCCTGTCAGGGGCACCACAGTCCTGTCAGGGCCCAGGGGCACCAGCGGCCTAGCAGGGGCACCACAGGCCTGCCAGGGGCACCATCGGTCTAGCAGGGGCACCACCGGCCTCGCAGGGGCACCATGGGCCTGTCAGGGGCCCCACCGGCCTCGCAGGGGCACCACCGGCCTCGCAGGCATCACGGCATCACGCAGGGACACCTTGGGTCTGTCGGGGGCATCACGGGCCTGTTGGGGGCACTTTAGGCTTGTCAGGGGCACCACAGTCCTGTCAGGTCCCAGGGGCATCAGCAGCCTAGCAGGGGCACCCTAGGCCCACCAGAGGCACCACAGGCCTGCCAGGGTCCAGGGGCACCACAGGCCTAGCAAGGGCACCACGGGCCTGTCAGGGGCACCTCAGGCTCCCGTGCCCCCCCCCCCCGCCCCCCCGGATCCGCAAGTGATGCCACACCACGCGAAACACCGCCAACTACCAGCTACCGCGCCATAAACACGTGCCAACAAGTCTTCTTTTTTTTTAAGGTCGACTCCACTCTCGCAACTTTTGACTGACCCTCACTGCTACCATATTGCTTCCATATTATGCTGTGGAAAGCTTTACTTCACCAAGTGGCTAAAAACCTCCATCAAGGTATATTTTCTTAACAATTTTTCTGACGTTTTTTTTGGGGGGCAAACAGGCCACTTTAGGCCATTGGGGGGCCATGGCCCCCGTGGCCCCCCCCCCCCTGGATCCGCCAGTGATCTGCAGCATTACCATTCTACTGTATAAAGCAAATTCATGGGCCAAGTGGGATATAGTAGCTTGCCAGCTTCTGTATAATATTTCAATGAGTTCGAGGTTGCGATGGTTTAAGAATTATTTAAACAATAAAGCAAATACAAGGAAAAGTAGTAAGGATTAATCAGGTACGCAATATCACATGTCTAATTTTATTTCAGGTGTTCCTCGTCGCCGCCGTGCTGGCCGTGGCCGCCGCCGATTCTCCGGCTCCGTACCACCCGACTCCGGCTCCGTACCACCCGGCTCCGGCCTACAAGCCGGCTCCCTACCACCCGCAGACCCAGTACAAGGAGGAGGCCAGGCCGTTCGCCTTCGACTACGCCGTCAACGACCACTACACCGGCACCAACTTCGCCCGCAACGAGCAGAGCGACGGTCACAACGTGCAGGGCTACTACTCGGTGGTTCTGCCCGACGGCCGTACCCAGCACGTCAAGTACACGGCTGACCACTACGGTGGATACAACGCCGAGGTCACCTACGACGGATATGCCACCTACCCCGAGCAGCACTCTGCCCCTGCCTACAAGCCGGCCCCCTACCACCCGGCCCCTGCCTACAAGCCGGCCCCCTACCACCCGGCCCCTGCCTACAAGCCGGCTCTCTACCACCCTGCCCCTGCCTACAAGCCTGCCCCTGCCTACAAGCCGGCCCCTGCCTACAAGCCGGCCCCTGCCTACAAGCCTGCTCATTATTAGTTGAATGAGGCTTGCTGATTTTTGTAAGATTTTTGTGATGGTTGACATTTTATTTACATACAATCGACATGTGTGACAAATACAGATGAATGTGTTAAAACGTCTTTGGATAGCTGTTGACGGAACTTCACTGAAAAAGAACACCGTTCATTAACTTATTAATTTATTCACTAAGCCTTGCAATTCATTCATGCTTTTCGCTTTCCTAATGACTTCATGGTTTTCAATGAATCAAGAATCGATAGTTTTCCGGAAGCTTTCATAGTGGGAGCTAAAAAGTGGAAATGAAAAGTTCCGAAACATTTAGATCGCGTGGAAAAATGTGCACATGGTTGATGACACTCCCGTTTAGATCACTTTGGTTCCATCGGTTGAACTTCTAAAATCACCCATGACTGATGTGAATTCTTATGCAATGAAATCTCTTTCATTTTGATCGTTGCGCCTCAGATATATCATCAATGAATATCATAGAGATAGTTACTGTGTGTGACGCCGCGCCGGCCCGGTAATGTCGCAATGTTGTGAAAGATACACCACGGGAACCATATCACTTATCGCGCTAGGTAAAACATGCCCATGTCAGGTTGAGGAACTCTATTGCAGATTGAATAAATGCAAATATTCGTGTAAATACATACGAGTATGCTTTCAGTCGGGGCAATGAAAAACTTGTGCCGGGACAGCGATGCGTAATTCTCAGCAGCAGAGTTGCCTTCGCAACACTAGAAAATGTTTATTCTTTGGCAGCCAACATGTAGGTACTTCTGATGATTCTATTTGTGATAAACCAGAAATACAGCGATTTGCTCAATGCTGGTGGATTTTGACGGTCAAAATCGGTCATACTCTACAACGGAATGTTTGGTAAGATACGAATAACAAACCACATGTATATTGGATAGTTCTAAACAGATTTATGCAAATATCTTTTGATGTACTTATGATCATTTTAAATAAACCGTTTGGAAGTAATCGAAGGTCTGGCTGCAGCCGAGAGTCGGAGGAGATCAGTCCATTGTCACCAGTTATTGACCGAGAACGAGCAAAGGTAAGCAGAGGAGATGATTACTCACCATTGCATGGCCTATCCGCATATTGTCTTGGGTAATCAACTTTGGCACTTTTCGCTTATAGGCTAATTGTCCGCTGGAATCCATCAGCGATAAGGCATGTTAGATTTAATCATGTTTTTTATGTGTGGAGGAAAGCTCTTTTTTTTGCCATGGTGGCTAATAGAAATCTTTAATTTCTACACTTAAAATAATTTAGAAAAACGACTTTCTTTCAGGAATGTAGCTTATCAAACATCTAGATTATTTACAAAATTTCTTATCATCATTAATCATTGGTATAGAAAAAAATCCAGCAAGAAAAACCTTACAAAACTGAAATTTTGAGACACACTTGATGCAATTTGGAGCATTAAAATTTCAGATCATCAACCATTAACCAGAAGGTGCTTTGTAAAATACATTCAAATAATTTCAACTGACAATGCATATGCATTCCAAAGGACTCACTCAGTCCTTCGATGCAGTTTTCTCTAAGGAGAACATATCGTGTGTAGCTATGACACAAGCGCACCCTCTAAGCAGCATTTGCATATCCAGAGTCAGTCTTCATTCGATGTATCATTGCTGTATTTCCTCGACTTTCTCTGAACCATCTAAATTCTAAGCATATGGTAATGCAACTTATCATCACCTGAGCTCTGTACTGCTCAACTGAGCTATAACGGGTGGCCCAATAAAAACGTTCCGAACTTCAAAGTCGTACCATTTCTAAATTGTTCATCCAAATGCATGAAATTTCGATGCTGTCCAATTTTGACATATTTTGATGCCATGGCAGAGTTTGGTTGAAATATCTTGATTGTAACGGAATTTATTTGAACTAAAATAAACGTTGTCATTTGCCTTTTTCCTGCCTTTTACAATTAAATCTTAATTTCATTCTTATCCATAACGACATAAGAACGTGTCATATCATTAAAAGCTTGTCATCTAGGACAAAAATAAATATATTAATTAATTGTTGCACTAGTCCTCTCAAAGCTGGAACGTTCATGCAGCGCGTTTATGAAAGGCACCGTCAGAATGCCTTTGCAACAAAAAGCCTGGTGCAGTGCTTGTTTGGAAAAGGAGTTTCAACGCGAAAATGGAACCAACAATCAATCAACATTAATCATTTATTTAAGAGTACAACAAGTGGAGTCGGGGTCAGGATTTAACTAAACAGTACCCATAGGATGTCCACACTCTTAACAAGGGAAGTGCAGAGACGACATCAAGCGGTTGTTATCCCAAGAGAACATCTCGGGAGCCCAGTTCATGGCGAGACAAAAGTCGCCAAAACCTGACTGTTCACGGGAGCACTAACCAGCGTTAATTAACACCCTGAGGGCAAACATAGAAACTCCGTGAAGGAAGTTGGTTACGGCCAGTATCATGCTAAGCATCCCGTATAGTGGAAACGCCGACCAAACTCTGGTCCGCGCTCCGAACTCGCGCGCATATTACTTCGAACAAGGAAAAATGATCGAGGGAAAACCTGATTTGGTCTCCTTTTACTTCCAATGCAATAAAAGAAGAACGAATAGACAAAAATGTTTGAAATTTTGTACGAACAATGTCAAAATGTTACCCTGGCGAAAATGTTAAGTGTCTACAGCATAAGTAACGCTGTCAGTGTAGCTTCAAAGTTCGGAACGTTTTTTTTAGGGGGGGGGGCACCCGGTATAAGTCATGTCATAAGAGTCCATGCCTTTCCTTTTTACTCTGTTACCCTTCTCCTTAACCCTCGCCGGCCGTGGGGGGGGGGAGGCGGGTGCCGCCCCCCCCCCCCATTGGTTTTTTCCGCGATAGCTATGAACACGCTGGCGATAGAGAGCTAAAACTCGGCATACCTGACCTTTGATTCAGGCCGGATCATTTGACAACAACTGCAGTTTCGGGTCAGGTCAGGTCACTAACCTATGACGTCATAAGTGAACCTCAGCACGGTCTTCAGATGTCGCAACTTCGCAACGCCCTCACTGCCAGAGGAGCTTTCACAGGGAAATGAAACTTGCTGGATCTAATATCCATTACGAGTCTCACAGCTTGTATATCTCGGATTTTTCCTAAAGGTCATATGAGGTTAGATCATTTTCGTGACCTCACCAGTCACCATTATAAGTCAATAGGGAAAAATGAAAACTGCTATTCTGGTGCCGGGAACGATCTCCAACTATCTCAAGCACACAAAATCGCGATTTGATGCACTCCTTGCAAGGTAACATGTGTCACTTTTGCAATGCTGACATTGCGTGACGTTATTTATGATGTCATTAGGGTCATATTAGTTTTTCGTCAATAACTCCCGACCAAATTAAGCTAGCGAGTCAGGAAAGCCACAATGGACTCAGGAAGACCTGCCGAATCGAATGATATGCGACATGACCTACATATACTTCGACCAATTTCGTGACCTGGGGGCGCTGAAATGACCGTGACCTGAGGTCAACACCCTGAGTAAGTTGACCTCACCCAAATAAAAAAAGAAATCATTCGACACGCCTGAGCGATGTGAGCACGATGCTGCTAAAATCGCGGCTCCGCGGCCATTTTTGGCGAAGTTATTCACCAAAAATGGAACCGTACCTTGGGGCACTTGACCTCACCTTAGAGGTCACCGGTTGTTCTAGGACCTTAAAATCGGGTAGAAACTTCTGCGTCTCGTAACGGCGCACACGCTCGTTTTTTTCCGCGACGCGCTAGCTCCACCAGGGGCGAAACGGCGAGGGGGGGTCGTACCCGCCCCTCCCCCCTCGGCCGGCGCGTATGTAGAAAACCAATAGGTCGTGCGAGGGTTAAAGTATTGTGACAGGCAGAGTCAAATAAAAGACTGATTCTTGTGACAAATACAAACGTGCAATTAAAACAAAAAGAGAAAGAAATCTTGAAAAGAGGAAATGAGACAGATTTCGGAATGAGATAAAAGACAGAGAGAAAGAGAGAGAGAAAGAGAGAGGAGGAGAGAGAGAGGAGAGAGAGAGGGGAAAGAGAGAGAAAACCAATAGGTCCGGCGAGGGTTAAATGAGCTCTTATAGTGGTCATAACTGTTCAAAAGGGTTATTTCATATTCATACCTTTGCTGATTTAAATTTTTCCTGATAAGTTTGATCTACCATAAGTGAAATCTCAGTTGTAAAACAAATCGAATGAGGCGGGTTACAACTCAACACAATTTACAAATATGATACCATAAAGGGAAAGGAGAGGATAGAGGAAATCAGAATAGTACAATAATTACTATATTAACAATAGCCGATTAAGGAATGACATTATCGCAGTGAAAACTTTCCATAACCATCAATAAGAAAAATGCAGATAACACAACAAACAAATCACAAAAAAATCAACTTCCATATATCATTTTGAACGAGAAACCAAACATATTGAAAGCAAACGCACATCCACGCATGAATAAATACATACTACTTGCATGAAACGACACCATCGCAGTACATGGTGTCAGTCATGTACATAGGCATATAGGCACATATTGGCATATAGTTAGTTATCTTATCATGGTATATCAACTTACAAGGAAGAGAGGGATTCGCATTAACTGAGTCGGTACCGAGGAAACCACACTTTTTAGGTCAGCTAACAGTCCGCTGCCACACCCACGACAATGCGAAAGGCGCACCGTCAGAGCAGTGTTGGGTGCGCCAGATTGCGACCTTCACCTTGGGCCCGGGGGGCTGGGTCGCCGTATAAAACGGAACGCCATATGGCGGTCGGCACCAGTCGGTCTCAACACTCCCAAACCAGACATGAAGGTGAGTGCTCCAGGCTCCAATAAACACAGTAATCTACTGTACAAGCGTTCTGATGGAAAACCAGCATTTATTTGAAAAGGAATAAAAAAAATGTTTGCACGGAAACCAATTCAATGAGCGCAACCCGTCGACTGGACCTGTTTCCATTATGCTCTTACATACAAATAGAAGAGCCGTAGCAGTTATGTCTTATCGTTGAGCAATTACATACAAACGATTACTTTCACTTGGTATAAATATACACCAGCTAATAAAGCTAAATCATTTTTCAGGTGTTCCTCGTCGCCGCCGTGCTGGCCGTGGCCGCCGCCGATTCTCCGGCTCCGTACCACCCGACTCCGGCTCCGTACCACCCGGCTCCGGCCTACAAGCCGGCTCCCTACCACCCGCAGACCCAGTACAAGGAGGAGGCCAGGCCGTTCGCCTTCGACTACGCCGTCAACGACCACTACACCGGCACCAACTTCGCCCGCAACGAGCAGAGCGACGGTCACAACGTGCAGGGCTACTACTCGGTGGTTCTGCCCGACGGCCGTACCCAGCACGTCAAGTACACGGCTGACCGCTACGGTGGATACAACGCCGAGGTCACCTACGACGGATATGCCACCTACCCCCAGCAGCACTCTGCCCCTGCCTACAAGCCTGCTCCCTACCATCCGGCTCCTGCCTACAAGCCGGCCCCCTACCACCCGGCCCCTGCCTACAAGCCGGCCCCCTACCACCCGGCCCCTGCCTACAAGCCGGCCCCTGCCTATAAGCCTGCCCCTGCCTACAAGCCGGCGCCCGCCTACAAGCCGGCCCCTGCCTACAAGCCGGCGCCCGCCTATAAGCCAGCTCTTACCTACAAGCCAGCTCGCTATTAATTGAATGAGATGCGATGATTTGTGTGGGGAGCGGTCAGCGGAACAAGATAGTAATATTATTGATAGGCTGAATTGTTTGCCAAATACATATAAATGCTTGATGAATTTATAAATATATTATCATTCACCTGCGAATGTATCATGTTTAGCAACGAATATTCTAATTCGTTACTGATATTCAGCGAAAAGAACTATTATTGCGTTTTCATGAACACTGAACAGCACAGAAATATCACCAGCCAATGGAAGTTCCGAAACTGTAACGAGAGCAGCAGCTAACTATGAAGTACTCGGCAGAAGCACGAACTTAATGCATTGGAAAGTTGCACACTGCACAACCAGTCATTCATCCATTCATCCGTTCATTCATTCATTCATTCGTTGTGGTATTTATAAGTATTGGCTTCCATTGTGCTTTCCCCTTTATCATATGAGCATCAGCGTATCAGCAGTCAGCATTCCATGAAGCCTGGCATGGTTTCGATAAGGGAAATAGTGTACATCCAAATTAATCACAACTGGTTGAAGTAGCTATTGAAGGATCGGCTCTCCAAGTCAAATTCGTAAAACTTTCTTTTTCTCGCACAAGATACATATAAGCCGTTTTCACGACGAACAACCTAGCGAATGCACCAAACTTGACCAAATCTGCACCAAATCACCAGCTTTACGGAGTGGAGACCACTTGGTTTTCGAGTTACCTCTCAAATCACTATCAGCGTGTCAGACTGTGCACTTCCGCTGGACGTCAACGCTTATCCAATGCAATCAGAAATATAATTGGCGTCTATCAGGGCACCTCGCGCGAACCCCTCTTGTACACTTGTACAGCCCTCTGCAAACTGCGTGGTAGGTATTCTTTTTTCGACAAAACCGAGAATAACGCGAATACTATGCCATCGGTCACTCGGAAATCGTAACAGTATGACGCGCGAGACTTCGCACCTTAGATTGGCATTATCATCGTGTTCATTTTCTATCCAGTTTGGCAACAAAATCCAAAAGTTTATATTTGCCCCCAAAACAGACTTTTGCATTTTGTTGCCACACAAGGCGTATACTTTGTCTAGTGATAGACCTAATCGAAGAAGTGGAGCATGGCGCATCTATTTGCAGTGAGTTTCGACCGACTGATAACATAGCCTTTGAGTTATCACCGGTTTTGTCGAAAAAAAGAATACCTACCACGCAGTCTGCTGAGGGCTGTACAACATTTTCTCCAACAATTTCAGCTTATATGTCAACAGCGATGTCAACATCACGCAATGCGCCAATGAAACACAGATCCTGGTCACCAGACGTAAATGTGACATTGCGCAACTCGTTCAGCGCATGGAATCGGCTCTGTGCACTTTGCTTCTGTGGCTCGCTCTAAATCAGATGAAAGTAAACTCTAGCAAGACTCAACTGATTGTACTCGGCACTCGTCAAATGCTACTCGGTCTTCCAAAAATGTGTATCAATGTAAACGGTGTGATTGTAGAAGAGATTCCGCGAGTCAAAAAATTAGGCAAATGGACAGACACTTGACTTACGAACCGCATGTCAACCAGTTGGTAGCGAAGTGTACTGGCTTATTGGTCGGCCTCAGTCATGCAAGACATCGTATCCCCCATGAGGTACTACCAGCGCTCGTGTATGGACTAGTGATCCGCTATTGCATCTCTGTATACGGTAACTATACCGCTCACTCATTGTCGCGTGTGCAGAAACTACTTAACTTTTGTGCAAGAGTGGTCTCAGGGCGGCGTAGACGTGAGCACGTAAGCGATATACTGGCTGAGTTGAACTGGTTACCTGCCCAGGGCCTCGTAATGTACCGAATATTGTGTTTAATTAAAGCCGTCCTGACCCATGGACAGCCGAGCGGCTCTGCTGGCCTGTTTCGTACCGCGCTGAGTGTGAGATTGAGGTCGACCAGACAGGATGACCTTCTTGTTTTGCCACGTGTCAAAAACCGAGTCTGGCAAGCGAAGGTTTGCCTATCGAGCCCAAGATTACTTTACTACTCATCGAGCCGCCAGCGCGTTCAATGCCAGGCCGCGCGACATTAGGGAGACCCGCATATCGGCGTTCAAAGGGACCGTCAAGAAATACTTGAGCACGGCGCGGCGGTAAACGCACATATATGTACGCAAACGGAGCTTTTATTGTGATCTTAGAACGACCACTTTTGTTTTACATGTTTTAAGTGTCTTCTACCCAGATCGTGTCTTTCACCGGTTGAGTGTCTTTTGCCCATATTGTAGACGCGAGCACATGAAGAAACAGTGATTGTCTGGATTAGCTTTAAATATATTCTGATTCTGATTCTGAATCTCCTTTGCAACAAATATCTTCTTGTGATGAGTTAATTTCACTGTTTTAATCAAAAACAATGTCTGATAATTTGAAAGAAAAATTCTGATTCTGATTCGGAATCTCCTTTGCAACAAATATCTTCTTGTGATGAGTTTAATTCACTGTTTTAAAGGGACAGTATCATCGAAAAAAAATCCATGTATGGAGCTGATTTTTTTTTTTACTAGCATTTCTTATTTTTCTGAATCAGAAAAACATAGTTTGAGGACCGAACTCAGTGAAAAATATTGCAACCACATTTCATTTTCATGATTCATTTTCATGAGCGAACCACCACTATACAAGCATGGCCGCCAGTTTGGAAGCATGCAAAATTACTACAGAACTGGCGCAGATAATACATTATTGACGCTACGCTTACGCGGTCGTTCTTCTGATTGAGTTGTCCTTAGGGAGAGGTAGCCTTAGGTATTGCCTATAAAAATATAACGTGACAATTGGAGGGAGTGACAATTGGACGTGACAATTGACAATGGGAGAAAATATCACGTGACAATCACGTGATAAACGTCATACATTGGAGGGAGATTGTGATTCAAGCTGGAGGAATTCCTTTGTTGAGCCGCTAGAATCCGAAGGAAACAGCGGAAATTGCCTACGACTATTTAATGAATTTAACGGTGATGAATAAGTGCGAAAAACGTTTTGGCTTTATAAAATTTGATGAAATGACCAGGGTAAAAGTTTTATTACTGGCGGTCAATTCAAAACGGCGCAAACATTTAAACAGTGAAGATAGTGAAGCACGATTCAAAGTGTGGTACACCTTTCGTACTTTGAGCGGCGATAGCGGGATAACGGTGTGGAGCTTCGAGGATCGGTCTTCAGTTCCCGGACCAGAAAGGTGGGGCCTATGCAATGTCAAATTTCATCAAAATGGTGATACTGTCCCTTTAATCAAAAGCAATGTCTGATAGTTTGAAAGAAAAATTCTGATTCTGATTCGGAATCTCCTTTGCAACAAATATCTTCTTATGATGAGTTTAATTCACTGCTTTAATCAAAAACAATGTCTGATAATTTGAAAGAAAAATCAGGTATTAAGCAACTGTGCTACCCAAACTGATAACTTCTGAGAAACACAATGAACTTAACTTGACCAATTCTGCACCAAATCTGCACCTAATGTGCACCAAATGTGTACCAATGAGCCGTCGTGAAAACGGCTATTAGGGCAGACATGGCACCAGTGATAATACCCCTCAGACCATCAGCAGATTCAGAAAGGCGACCTTGGACCCCATGCGGGGCTTACCCCCAAACAAGTTTCTCCAATCTTCAAAATCTAATCGAATTTCGATTTCGTATGCACTGATGTGCAGCTTAAAGGGACCCTCCCATGTTCAAAAAAGTTAATGAATTGGCATAAAAGTGATGTCGCTCGGTTCAGAAAGAGCGAAAACGAATATCTACTAAATTTCATCGAAAAATATTCACCGGTTTTCAAGATATTAGACTCTTACTTTTGTTTACTTTTTGGGATCTCCGCTGTTCCTAGCGACTTTATTTTAACCCTCGCCCGTAAACGGTGTTTTGCCACCTTCGCCCATGCAGGGGGGGGGGGGGTTGGTGCGACCCCCCCCCCTGGCGTTTGAAAACGGAGCGTCGTAGAGCTTAGCGGAAAAGACCAACGGATTGTCTCTCAACGAGATCTCGCGATTGGTGGTATATTTTTTGGTCCTAGGTCAACATTTGACCTACTTATGACCGGTCAAATGTCAAATTTTCGGAAACATCTAACTTTTTCAGATTTCCGCGCCGATTGCGGCACAACGGTAAGAGATATCGACTTGAAACCTTCACTGTCGTGATCCTTGATCAATCCTCTATCGTTTGGTGTGTATTTCGATGTCATAAGTCTAAAAATGATGCGTTGGGAGCATCGGAAGTCTGCAAGGTCATTTGTGCATTGGGTCACGTCAGGCGTGTGACGTCACTGACCTGACCCTGACCCAAAATGAACTACAAGAAACAACCGACGATGCCTGAAATGGATAGAAAATTCGAATTCAGGGCATCAAAATACCCCGAAAAGACATACAAGTGCAAGAAGTCATTACAGGTCAACCGAGGTCACTGACCTTACCTTGACCTTTAGTAACCTTCAAAATGTCAACGGACATTGTGCCAATGTCAAATCAGCCAGCTGTGATTCTAAAACAATCCATCGGTGTGTCAGGTCAGTCGGCATTTATACCAATGTGAAGCAATCTCCAATTAAGCGTAAATCTGGCCGGAGGTTGTTCCCTTTATGACGTCATAACTCCGTGACCTGACATGACCTTGACAAAAAAAATACCAAAAGTTGCGCAAAGGATGCCCCATAGGGTACTGAACATTTGAGCAGGCTATCTGAAACGGTTCGGCGTGTAGCTAAGAAAAACCTCAGGGGGGGGGGGGGGTTGCACCAACCCCCCCCCCTACATGGGCGAGGGTTAAAGTGCGACACTTGTTGCGCGCAAAGCAGCATATGCCACCGCGTGCTGCCAAACGTTTTAGTAAAAGATTTAAAATCGTTAGATCTGCACTGACGTTACACATTCAGAGGGGGCATTCTAATGCATTTGCCCCTCTAAACTCAAGTGATGCAACTTTGAAATTAGATATTTTCGATTTGAGGCATCTCTCGATCATGTGAGTTCTCAAACCAGTAAGTGCAAGCCAGGGACATCATTTTGGATATCTCAACTCAAAACTTATGTTAAGGTGGGATGGTCACTTTAAAGGAAAACTTCCCTAATAATACTTGTTTTGTGTTCTCTGTTTATCCTTGA